AAAATGTCTCAAAACATTCCCAAAAAGAGTTACTCGTAATATAATAAATCCCGATGAGATCTGGATCTTGAATGAATTCGTTTGGCATGTAAAAAGACTAATATGTCGTGTTCGTGTTTGAGAACAGCCTTTGAAGTCACCCTTAGNNNNATATGAGTGGATTGCATCAAACGGTCCAAAACTGTGGAGTTATGAAGTGTTTTTATTTTACAATGAAGGTAAAAGTCCCAACTAGGAAAACAGTTCCCAATCTGAAATTTACCGAAACTAAACCACTCTGATTTTCAAATGAGAATTGGAGTTACTTAATTGTTTAAGTACAGGACTAATCTTTTGTAACGAGCAATCAGGTTGAGTGACTGACGAATGGTGAACAAATAAAGCATAGAAAGCGGCCACTGATTCCAACCATCACTCCGTATTTCCATAGGGGAGCCTGATGCCTTGTTGTTGCAAGACCGCATAATTCGATAGACGCATAGTATACTCAGTAGCTTTATTTTTTCAGTCTATGACAGTTCAAACATTATGAGAATTCTATGCATAAAATTAAGCCTAAATGGCTTTTACATTTTTTTGGAAGAGAAGTAATAGGCCAATATTAACCAAAACTCTAATCCATTAGGATGGATTCATGTGGATAAGAGACACTTGTAGGCAAAAGCTTGCTAAATTAATGCGAGACACCATGCACCTTTTAAGTTAATTGCCGTTTGCTAATTAGTGATCACTCTGTTGAGTTTAGAGCTTCCTTTTGCACAAGATTTGAAGGGAATCGATCATAACTAAATGTCAAAGAGAATAAAAAACAAATATGTATTGATGCGTATCTCAAGTTTGGGTGGTGCAAGTCATAAATTAATTGAAAAATGAAATAACATCTTGCTGCGGACAAGTAGGAGTTATAAACAAGTTTATTTAGTTGTGTGAGTGCAATGGAAGCGCCATTCGCTTACTTTGAAAAATGCTTCAAAATAGCGTGGAATTTATAACGTTGATGTACGCAATAACCGCATCTCCATTATCTATTTTCTTCTGGTTGTTGTATCCTGTTGATAAATTTCAAGACCGTTGGCTGATACTTCAATGTCGTTTTCACATCCTGATGGGTTACTATCACTTTTCACACACATGCACGCCGAGAAATGCGTACTCATGCGGTTACATGCCGTAAAATTCGTAAATTCTGATTAAATTTCACTGTATACGAATATCTACCTCACACTGGTGCTCGGTAGTCTTGAGTGCTACCTTTTAGAGTGGGAGGAAGAACTAGGAAGATCGGTATCGCGTTGAAGATAGAGATTCAAGTAATCTAAAGATGATGAACAATTGAGTAGACACGTTAGTCCTGTTGTTTGCGACACTCACCATTGATTGCACTCCTGCCTAATTCTCCAATCACAAGTCCAGATAAGACGTATGCGACCGAGTCATAGGTTAGGGGCTACCCTTGAAATGTTCTTGCTCCAAATTTACCTAGCCAAACGTCGCTCGTTGACGAAGCTCATAAGGTGAAATGCGTAACAACAGCGGACTCTACATAGGTCGGGTATTTGCTCCGGTGAGCGAGTGTTTAACTAAAAAACTTCACCTAACCTCAGCATCACCGGTTCAGTTGATACAGCAAACTCAAGCAATGCTACACAGATAACAGTTTTTGAACACCAATAGCCTATCTTTATCCTTCTTCAATAATTGCAAAGTTTAAGCGTCATTCAGCGGCACCGACTTAACTGCTGTTACATTCACTCGAAACTTCCCAGGCATCCGAATGTCTTTTTGAAGCCAGAGGTGTCTCAAGCTAGCAAGTTGGTTGAGAGCTAAACCACCTCAGCCCTGTAAAAAAACGTGAAAACTATGAAGGTGCGAAACTCATTATACAAAAAGCTGCGATAGCACTGTCGTCATCCGAAAGTGCAATCAGTTTTCCGGGATCCTTACCTTACAATACCGTCTTCAAACTCCAAACCAGGTAACTTCCCACCTAAAAGTGTATTAATACCGTTATCCTTCCGTTCTGACAACGCTATTTCCAGAATCATATGTAATACAAAGCTGAAAGGAAAAAGAGAGCAAGGGTTCATCTGGAGAGAATCGCTTTTCGTGGTGAATTCCGGCGAATCGAGTCGTAAGCTCGAACTCGGCTTCGCTCATTAGAATTGTAATAAGAAAATAAACGTTGTTGGCACACTACTCAAAGAGAGGCAGCACCAGAGTACAAATTTATCTACAGAATTGAAAGCTGCATTGAGATAAAAGATAGAAATTTTAGACCTACAGAAGGAATATCCGCGTTCTAGAATTTGACTGACTTAATACAGAATACACTGGAAATAAACGTTGAAAAACCTACTACGGGAACAAAATTGATGTATGACTTCTGAGTTCTTTACTGGCGGTTGCAAAATGTTATCCTTGCATCCGCTTCATTGTAAAAACAAAGGAAACCATAAATTTGAAAAGATTAAGAACATTCGGCATCAGAAATTAACGCAGCTTGATTAATTACTGATTGATCTTGATGTTTTCATGTTACTGGGTTTCATGCACGCAATTCAAGTCTTCTGCAACATTTATTCTTGTGAATATCTAACTAATGAAGGGCTAAGCATTCATCTATAGGTATATTATCTGAGAAACCGTTATCTTCTTACACCGACAAGCGATTTACTCTTCATGTTCAAAATCTCACCATGAAGAGTAAAATCTCTTTTACCAAAGATACCATATTCTAGTTTTCATTGACTGCTTGATTGTAATTATAGTCCTTGCTCACCAGCACTTTTAATAATGGAAGCTCAATATGTTTTGGTTACTTTCACCTCAGGTGGAGAACCGCGCATGAAAGCACACCGTCCAGAGATCAAAATGTATAAAACAGCGTTCACAGAGCGTTATGTTTGGTATCTATGATTTGTCACGATCAAACCACCAGATTGCGGGAATGGAGGTCGGGGGGGGGGGGCTTGCAGGAGGTTGATACAAAGCAGATCCATAAATACATACTAAGGACAAGAAGATACAATATGCCAACTAATAAATTAGAACAATAAGTTATCACGGTTCCGAACCAGTTATACAGGCCTCACTTTTATTTTATGCATATTTCGCATGGAACCGGTCGATACTCGCGTTATCAGGATGGCAGAATAAGAAAATGACCTTGATCATATTCATAGAGAGAAAATTCATTTCAAATCCTTGTTTGTCTGAGTTCTTGAAAGAAAATGATATTTAGGGATTGTTTTCTGGCGATCTTTAAATTGTCTATTTTGTGATGCCTCATGAATTTGTAACATCTAAATTATTTTAAACGCATGTTTAAAGAAGACTGTCGTCGGATTGCATATACGGTGCACAAATTTCAGGTATTGTTGTCCGATTGGAGAGTGACAAAGAAATAAGATAGGTTAATCACGATAAAATTATGCATATTCCCTTGAAAGCTTCGAGTTTTTGTCTGACTACACACAGGAGATATCCTGGTCCTAGCGAGTAAACGTGTGGCACCTACTCACGCACTTTTGCGATGATCATTTAAAATGGCCTCGGCCTGACAAACAATGAAACTTCAGAACGTCTACTATCCAAATAAAATATCTGCTAGAAAAGCCAAGTACAACAGAAACAAATACTCCAATCAACCACAATATGTTACCGCGCATACAAGCGCATATGCAGAACAGGTGGATCGCAGATAGCGATAGCTTCCAAGCACTTAGTCGGTCTACACTTGTCACCGACTGTACGTACGCCATTTATATTTTTGATAANACATCTTTTCTGACCTCAAACGAGCTTTGCTTCCGTCAGAACTTATCCATCATACATATCCACCGGTTCATTCAGAGGTTGAACCTCGGACACTGCATGACAGAACTGTGTTAACATTGCGCCAGCCGGCTAACATTTGGGCTAACAAGGTTTGTTTTTATCTTGTCCGCAATGACAGTCTCTTTGGCCTGACAGTGGCGAGTAGGGTCACTGTATACTGTCTCTTAGTTCCAATCGACCGCCTCACATCAAATTAGATCTTCCTTGATGTGTTATTTAAAAATCTTCACATTTTGCATAATTACCAACAAGGAGCTGTAAGTCCAAGTGCAAACTTGATTTTCACTTAGCATAGCTACTTGGAGATGCATACCCAACCCCCTAATAAGAAGTGACTCGATGGTAAGCTTTTGATCAGAGTAACCAGAAGTTCTTGAGCCTCACCAACTGACTGACGACATTGGAACCAACTGAATTCGTTAAACGTGCTCTGCTTAGGTGTGTGTGGTATTCGGTACAATGGTAATATACTCACTTGACGAATGCCAGGTCTTGGGGTGCTCTTCTGCCACGCGTGTTACTGATAAGTCCTAGAGGGTGTGAAAGTGGTTCACTGTTCCTGGAATGTATACTTGAATGGGAGAATGCAGGATTATGCTTAAAGAATAAGTCTAAAGGGTGATTGCTCAATATCCTTCAGGGTTTACGCCATGTCACTACCCAAAGGAAACTGAGTAAATAGCTAAATCACAATTTCCGTGATATCTTTATGGAAAATGTGTTAGAAATCTCTTATCAAACGTTGTGCCGTCAACCTTTTTCAGCTGTTACAGAGATTTAATATTATTCTTCATTATGGTTGAATGAATTGCTAGGTTTTTTAGTGCAGTATTCGGTTAGAGCCAACTTATTAACTCAGATTACCAATACTTTGCAGATCTATTTGACTGTAAGTACTAGAGAAAACCTATGAATGAATATATATTTATGGTGTCACCGCAGAGACTGCAATTTGTACTGTAACAGCTGATCAGTGTACAAGCTAAGCCAACTTCTCCACCCACTTCTTACGCGGGTTTGATGTCTTCGATAAGCAGCTGCTCTTGAATAAGTCAGATCATTCATCAGTTTGGGTGATTCGGATTGATTAAATCATTTGAGTTCTCGTTTTCTATCGATCACATGTATCCCACCAGACTTGAAAAAGAGAACAAATCCAAAAGATGACAAGTCATCGCACGCGCATGCAATATGAGCAGCAACGACAGCTGGGATTTGCTCGGAACGATAGCGCCTCCTCACTACGCTCCGGTGATCCTCTTCAAACCCCATCCGGGTCATCTATTCGTGGCCCGACTAGAACAGGCTATGCGGAACCCAGTGGCTCCGTAATTTCCGGATCCTATCTGTCATCAAAACCACGATCCTACTTGAGCGGAACAGCTGCTTCGGCTACAAGGAATCACGAAAACTACCCGGAGTCCACAGTGCAACCGGAATCTGTCCGTTCGCCTTCGGTCGGCGGACCACGATCCCAAGTGAATCATGGCACAGCGTCTGCTTCTATCGATCGTCTGGGCCGTGCTGGAAGTGTGACAAGTTACCAACCATCGACTATGATGGGTAAATCAGTATATGGTACAAGATCGTTGTATGGAGCAAGCCAGTTGAAAATGTCACGAAGCTTAAAAGCGTCGAAAGTAAGTGACAGTATTTATCCAAGTTCAAACTGTTCATAATTTATTTGTTTCTTTGTCAACCGTGTATTAACAGCTGTTTTTCAAACATGCCTTATTTCTGAATCCTCTACTTGGTATTTAACTAACGGAAGTACACGACGTTCCTATCAATTATCCTTTATACCAGGCCTCTCTCGCTACTTATAAAAGTGGAAGAACTACCATTCAAGCAGAACATCACGATCGGAAGGTGCAACGGGAACTGAACTCTGTAAAATTTGGCCGAGCTCGCAAGTTATACTGGATTTCTGTGGCTTGTTTCATCCTGTTCCTGTTGGTTTTGTTTCTGGGCTTGTTGCTCCCATGCCTCCCACCTATTTATTGGAATATT